TGTGTGTGTGTGTGCATTATTTACAAGTGGCAATAGAAATAACAGCAGAAACAACAATAGAACAACAACAGCTGCAACAACAACAACACTAACAAAAACAGCAACAACAACTATACCAACAACAACAACAACAGCAATAACGAAAACCTGAACACTCCGTGTGGGCATTTACGATGGTATTTCAAATTGCAGTCTATCGAAGGCAACAAAATATATAAAACAGTAGACTAATAATTCAAACAGCTCAAAACTGTATGAACATACATTTCGTAGTATAGTCAGTTTAGGCATAATGTTGAAGTTTTGAAACCTTAAGTGTTTTTTTTTTTTCCTCCGTCGCCTTGGTTTTCTGACAGATTTGTATTAACTTTAGCAACATCTCCTGTGTCAACAGGAAAATGTCGCTGCTAAAGTCATTTTTTTCCTTCTCTTCCAGGTTCCCTAATGTCAGGCACCTTGTTACGAAGATGCTAGTATGAGATTCGGCTGGTTTATGTTTTCTTCTTAACGTGCTTTTTAAAAAATAATACTTTTTGAGCAAACAACGAGATGGATTCATAACTATCATATAGCTTTCTAAATGTGATCGTACACACATCATGTTAATTCTACCACCAAGTTCTAACACCAGAATGGATACCACACAAGTGTGAAAGCTTCCCAAAAGTGACTGGCCGTAACCTTATACTCCACCTTTCCATCAGCGCTATGGACGCCCCTCTTCAATGATCACGACGCCTTCCCCAAGTGGATTGGGTAGCCTATTCCCCAATGTAGCAGTATCGAAAACGCTGTTTGAGAGAGCCTTGAGAAATGATGAAGGGCTGCTCGAACATATTAGTCAGTGAAAAAGCACCTGCAAAAATTATTTGTTTATTGTGAGAATCAAAACACCTTCTAACATCACGTTCCCCTCGGTACCCCATTACCCATTTTAAAATATCATAAAATTGTGGCAATATAAAAGTTCCAACTCAACATAATACTCTGCCTTTCGGTGCGTAGAATGAAAATTATATCATTGTAATACATGTAATACAAATCAATATTCAGGCATTCACTTTTCATGCTATTAATACACCTCAGCTGCACTGTGTTGTCGCGAAAGCTAGAGTTCGAAAATAACACGATATCCTTCGCTAGCTAATGGATATGGCATTAGAATAACAATAACAAGCAACAAGTTTTCGATCCCATCGCAGTATCCTAACATCCAGTCAATAAGAATGGATACTGTATCACTGTGGACCACCAAAAGTGTTCAAAAAGCTAACGTGTAATCATTTCCACAACATTCCATCTACAAGAGTGGATACTGTACTGTGATAGTGCGACAACCTAAAAGTGTTAAGACATAACTTGTCATCGGCGCCACGATGATCTGCTGCGGTACCAATAGTCCGCTGCTGCTGCCGCCCCACGAGAAGATGACCAACAGCGCCCACCTGGAGCTAAGCTTGGAGCAGGCGGACCTAGTCTACTACTCCGGTGACCGGATACGTGGCGCTCTGGTAGTTCACGTGGCTGCCCCTGTCACCATAGCGGGTAAGTTCACACCTGTGCTTTTGCTCTTTTGTGGAAGAAAACTGGAACAAAATTGAAATATACATCTTTTATTTACCTTAGTTATAAACATCGAGCTACGACAGGATATACATCCATAAGTGAGTGGTTAGAGGGTGCTCTGATGTGATTTGCTCTTTCTTTCTGATCAAATATCTGTCGTCCCTATCTGTCCTCCTTTTTTGTTGTAGGTTACTCTCAAGTAACAACTCTATTCTCCCTCCATGTCCCCCTCTTTTCATCTTCTGCCTGGCAATCCTTCTTAGGAGTGAATTAGATGACGGGGAGGGGGGGGGGTTGTAAGTGTTTTTAGAGGCCGTCATCGGTTTGAGAATTAGAGGGAGCCTCCAGTCTGCCTTGTGAGATAAAAGTTGCTTTGTACACATGAGAGCTCTTGACATGAGAGCTCTCAGCTGATCCGAGCATCTTCGAGTGTGGCCGAACGAACCCATATGAAGGAGCGGCTGATTATTTCACACTATTGGTAGAGGAAAATTCTGATTTTAGCCAGTCAAACTGTTGTTGTGCTTTTCTACTCTGCCCTTTGTTTCAAAAACTGCAAACATTTAATTTTTGTTTCTATACCAGTCACCATCAATCAACTTGAGATCGCAATTTTACTTTTTATCTTACCGATACTCAAAGAACGCATTCCTAAGCTCTTGTTGTGATATGGTGCTGATAATCATCCTGATTCGAACCCCCCCCCTCCCTTTTCAGTGGCGTGTTCTTGAAGTTGAGTTGTTTGAGTAGTTTTTTTCGGCTGGGTGCCCACCTGGCTATGTTGTATCGGAGATGGGCACGAAAGACTTCTCTAATAACCTTAAAGTAATGGAAGTGGCGAGAAGCCCATAAATATAATGTTGATGTCCAGAAAGTTTAAGTGTATTGCAAAGGTAATCTACTCTTTACGAAGCCAATCGTGTTCTTTCCACCTGCCACTTCTCAGTAAAGAAAATATTTGGACTTCCTTTGCTCATTTTTCATTATTATGAGGCGTCTTTGCTTCATGAGTGTGTGCACCTCTAAAGGACAACGGTTTTAGTTACTTTGTCCAACCAGTGGGTATTTCAAATGCGTTGAAAACAGCGAGTGGGAAATCAAAGTGCACGTAACCCCGAAAAATAAGAAGGATTACGTCACTGTAGCGTCTACTGGGTAATTGATTTCACCCTTTCGTGTCTGCTTTCAAAACCAGACAGACTAGGAACCACTCGACTTAATTAAATATAGAAGTACTCCCCGTTCGTCTGCTTTATCTTTGTACGATTTGTTAGGCTCTTCTATGCAAATGAGTAAAGTTGGACGTAGCGAGCTTTGGTTTGGTTAGAAATAACCATACAGACGAAAGAAGAAGGAAATAATCGACAGACGATTGTGTTTTTCAGCATAGACGATTTTTGAGTGTGGTTCCCCCATAAGAAGAGTTGCATCTCCTATGACTTTTAGCGTTAGGTAAATAGTTGTATTTACCCTCCTCCAGGGTGTTTAGTTTGCATGCATATGTCTGTGTGTGTATGCCTTTGGTGTGTGTGTGTGTGTGTGTGTGTGTGT